ACAACCAGCGAAACGTGGTCAGGCTACCCGACAACCACGAGAGGCTGCTCCAAACGACAAGGGGGCCAGCTTCCCATCCAACCCATATCAATGCGTATCAAGTTGCAATTTCCTTGAATATTTCTTGCAGTTTCGCAATTTCTAGAGGGCTGCGGTTTGAAAATGCAAAAGCCAAAGGTGTATTTTTAAAAAATGCAACTGGTGAATTTGTGTTTTCCAGTTGTATTTCCTATGTTTTCTGATTTTTTTGCACTTAACTCAACTAGCAACTCACAGACGGAGGGTCCGAAATGCAGAATGAGGTTGGATCAAATAAGGCTAGAATAAAAGAAGGCGCGGAACACTTTGACATTTTTACCCCAACATTCATGGAATAGACACAATATGTGGTTTTGTAATGTTTTGTATCAAAATCGCAGTACCCATCAGACCCATAACAACCGATCTGTAGCCTCCCTATTCTTGCGCACGTCCAAGTTAACTTTTGCTCTCGAAACCAACCACCGTGTCTCGCCAAAGGGCTCACACGCGCATGGCAGAACACGCGGTCCCGGCTACCATGGAGGTCGGCAGCAACTGGCATTGAGGCCTCAGGAGGCCTCAGGATACAGCACCAAAAACGAAGGACAGCTACTGTTTGGAGGAAGAGTGAGATACACCGTTGTCAAAAAGGCAAGAGGTCGAACTCGTTGTGCACAATGAAGAAAAGGAGAGAAGTTGGCAGCGCAGAAGTCCTAACAACACAAAAACACTGAAAACACAAAAAGAAACAGTGAATATCATTGAATAAGTGCGTGGTCCTCTGCTGCTGAAAAAGCAAATGTTGCGTTTGCATGCGTTCTGTTTGCAGTTGGACTGGCTTAGGTTGGGACTACAGTCCGAGATGCTGGCTTAAGCATATGCTACCATTGCTTTGTCTTGGGGGAACCTGAACGTCTGGCACTCTCCGTACAATGGTTCACTTTTTTGAGGCCGCCAACAGGGGACACCTTGCAATAACACCCGCAAAGGCCTTCCAACCTGATTGATTCTTTTCCTACACATGCGGTCTTCCGCTTCCTTCGTTTGCCGCGCCCGCTCATGCGGAGAGGGCTTCTGGGGGGCTGAAGTGCCAAAAAGTGTGATCAGCGGTGACCAACTTCCTGGGAGCTAAACTGTTGGTTTATCCCGTTGTCCCCACAACCAGGGGGAGAGTCAAATTACATGTATGGCCACCCTTCGTTATCTTCATTGGGAGCAGCAAGATACATGCAATACCATGATCTTCATCCCAACCGGGTCTTTGAAGGCATGGGGCTTGGCTGAGTTTTTCAATCACATGTGCAACCAGTCCGTGCAAGGGGGCCTGCCTTCCAAAGACCGGGTGGAAGATCACAAAAGAGCATCATAGAGCCCAACCTCTCGTCACGAGTCTTCTAAGCGGAAGGCCGCAATTAGCCCGAGTACAGCCAGTGCCGCCGAAAGACCCTGAGGGACGATCAGGATCAAAGTGCGATGCGGGCCCTCGCTGCTTTCCCCCTGCTTTATTAAAGTGCGAACACGGCTGCATGAAGCTTTTGCAGCTGCACGGCGACGTCAGAACAGAAGGCGCAAGTCAAGCAAACAGGAGGAGGCTTGCACCGTCAGATTCCAGCATGAGGCAAGCAAGAGCAATGCAAATTCGTACGCTGGGGCACAAGTCACACGCCTTTGTTTGTTGACCTCCAGTCCTTGCGTCAGTTGCATGTCAGCGCTTTTGTAACCTGCTTTACCAGCTTGGTCTTTTGGGGTGCTGTCTCGTTTGAGCGCGGCAATGTGCAGACGCAATTGCCAGATGTCCAGAAGGGAAGCGAAGAGTTCTTGTACGGCGTCTTAGAAGGCCTGCACTCGTGCTCGAGCAAAGCACTTGGAGGTCGTTGGAGGGCAATCCCGAACCGTGGTTCAAGGGCTGCGGCTGCTCTTCAGACATAACGAGCTAAGGGCTCCTCTAGTGTGAGGATCTTTGTTTTCTTCGTCTTTGGGAAGGCACCTTCACTGCGTCGGCCCAAGTCGAACTCCAACAGACGAAGCATGCAGGTTCAAAACCAGGATACCTTGGTTGACTTTCCGACGGCCCAGAGCGCCAAGCTTGGACCCATCTCCATATCAACCACCGTGGGTCCCTGCTTCGTCGACGAAACTCAAGAGGTTTCTCACCAACCCGGTCGCCATCTCGGCAAAATGAACGCAGAACGAAAACCGTGTGACTTCCTTTTGAGACGCATGTTCCAAGGTAAATTAATGTAAATTACATATATAAATCTAATTATATAAATCTATCTACTACTATGCCTTTAAAAGATGACTCTTCATTCATTCTATCTCATTCTTGGGGGTCTACTCGGGGTCTACACATGACGCTATATATATAATATATATATACAGTACATGTGCATACATGCGCATACTATATACAGATACAGTCATATATGATATACAGCAGATTTGTTGTGTGTTGCGCTCTTGCTGCCTTGCCCTGCAGAGTCCCGGCGCTTCTCGCGCTGGGCGCCCCCACCAGGTACACTTTGCCTCCATGCCTTCGCGGGTCTGCGAAACTGGTTTCATGTCCAACGATCCATGAAACTGACAATCCATTCGGGTGGTTGTAAGATGCTTTCTTTAAAGATCGTTTAAGGATCCATGTAGGTCAATATTCCATACTTCATGATCTTCATGGATTGGGGCATGCTACCTGGCCCCACTCGGACGTCCTTTCAAATGCGAAGGTGATCCATGAGAGTTGATCTTTGGACATGTCTTGAACACTTCAATGAGCACATCGGAAGTACAACATGGCCCCAAAAGGAACACGTTCTTTCCTCTACAACCCAATGTGTTTGTCCACCAAACCATGTGTGGAGTCAGAGGGCAACTGGTCACATCTAGTGGGATCCAATTCTTCCGCCCAGGGTTTTGAGGGTCGCAAGCGGCATGATGCAAGCGGGTGCCGAGTCTTCGTCTTCGTCTTCATCGCCCCAAGCGGTCCAATGGGCGGTCCAATGGGCGGTCCCAGTGCGGCTACGTGAGGAGTTCTTTCTCTCCCAACGGAGGAGGGGAGGAGGTCCATGTTCTGCTTGTGACTGTTCCACTCCGAACGTGGAACTGGTGGTTACGTGGATGGCATGGTCCCTTGGAAGACCATGCCTACTTGGAGGCCTGTGCTTCCATTTCCACTACTGCTCTTTGGACTTAAGCGCGGACCCTTGCTCCGGTTCTCTTCCTCCACAAACAGTTCCAGGGAGAGTAAAAGTTATTGGCAAAAACCACTGGTGTCTGGTCGAATTTCTCGAGTCACTCTCCCGCGATTTGACCAGGTTGTGACAAGCTCAGACTTGGAAACCATGGGGATGTTCCGGAAAAATAAAGGGAAACCTATCATCCTGTCAAGTTTTGGAAGATCGGGGGTCTCTTCTCCCACAAAACAGTGACCTTCCCAGTTTCGGTAGCAAGTCAATTCTCTGGCGGGGCATTGATACACCAAAATTGCAAAAGAAGTGGTCACACCAATGGACCCTGGTCTCCGGTCTCACCAAACGGAAACACCAAAGGTTCTCATCAGTGCCATGCTTCTTTTGGGCGATTCGCCAAGTGGCATTTGCAGTCGTAATCATTGCATTTGACTTCCGTCTCGTCTCCCAGTCGTTGGTTCGTAGGGCTTGAGGCGTAAGAAGGGCTCAGCGTCTGCGCGTTGTGCGGTCAAACAGACGCACATGTCATGGAACCCTAGTCCCAACCAGAAACAGTGACCTGGCTCTTCCAATATCTTCCAATATGGTTTGCTTGAGATCCTGAAACATAGGAAATGGATGGAAATGGCTGGAAATGGGGAAGCATCATGAAACATGCATATCTTTCTGGGGTTCCAGGCACTTGCTCTACAACCAAATGCATTTAAAAGCATATGTATTGGTGCATAGATGCAGCACTGTCGTAAAGAGTATGAAAACGGTACCGTCTTTCAAAAAGCACATCGACCAATCCATCAACGGCGTCACTGACTTCGGTTGTGCCATCGGTGGCCGGCGGTCGCTGTGCGAAGCAGCCGTGGGGTCGGTTGAAAGCTATCATCCGGTGGAAGCGACCACCCCGGATGCATGCGTCTCCAACCGTTCTCTTCTACACATCTGTTTGCGTCTCCACATGTTGGTTGGATACAAGTGCGGCAAGGGTGAGAACTGGACTCTTGAAACTCCGTTCTATACCTACTACCGAGATCTACCGAGTCCCTACTTCCCCACCAAAAGAGTCCTCTTTTCTGACCTTCCGCTGCTAACCCCGGCCCCACCGCCCGAACCCGGCTCTCCTCGCTGCCCGACATCAAGACTTGGTGGTAGGTGGGCAAGGGCGGCAGCTCCGGCATGAGGCAATCCAAGAAAGCCGAGTTTTTGGGGGGAAACGTTTGGGTCACGCCGCATACAGCTAGGCTCTGACACACTTGCTTTCCCTTTTCACCAAGACCTGAGCTTTGCGGTGCTTCCAAGCTACGGAGTTCGAGATGATCGTACCCCAACCACGTGGGCTCTGTGTTCTGCCACAGAGTCTGCAAACTGTTTGGAGTTGTGTATATCCCATGACCAGGGCCCGGTGGATGATGATGGTTAGGTTGCAGGCCAGGTTCAAAAAATTGTGGTACTGATACTCTTTTGCCGACTGTTACTGGTAATGAGCTACACCCTAGTGGTTGAGTGGTCGGAGGTCTTCGCGCCAAATGCTGTCTTCTTCGGTATTTGTGGCTCACAGCACCTTGAGACCTGAAGCAAGTCCCGGCGAACAAGTGGCCAAAGACTGGCGGCAGAAAGATGGGGCAAGAAGGCTGGCTGATCCAAACAACTCTCCCAAGATCTCCCAAGTGTTCCACCTTCAAGTGAGTCCCCTATTTGAGGTTCCTGAGTGCACCGTTCGCTGCCCTGAGTCACCGTGTGTAGCAACGGCCGCCAGTCATTGCAGCAACGGATGCGACAAACCCCCCCTGGGCATTCCACGGAGGGCGGCGTCGTCAAGCAGGGAAAGGCACTGGACCTCGGCGCAGCTCGGCGGAAGAGCTTGGCAGGAAGGAATGCAACGAGGAAGCACGGCAAGCGGCACTTTGCCATGTCTAGCGGAAGCGTCAACCAGGGTTTCAACCATTGACTGATAGAGAGTTAAGGGACAGGGCCCATACTGTTGTTTATGGTTGGATTGATGGGACATGGGAAGAACGCAGCTTATATTGTGCGAATTGTTGTTTCCAACATGTTCCAGCATATCTTTGTGTGGTGAAGCCATACGTATGGCGCCAGGTAGCTATCAGCCGCAAGGATTCTGTACGGAGATGCCAAAAACGGAACCTGGGTCCTTTTGAGGGGTCACGCGAACCCAGTGCGATGTCAGACATGCGCCGGCAGTCTTGGTGCCGTCATGTCCATGGCTCACACCATGTCCTTCTCTTCCCCAGTCCCCCGGCATCTTGTAGTCCACCAGCTGTCGTTGCTGTGTCGCCAGTCGATGGGCGAGATCCTTAGTGATGACGCGCTTGAAGACTCATGGGGTCGTGACTCGTGACCCACCTGGAGCCCGACCAGTCCTGGTTCAGAGTCTTCACAGAGCACGGGAGGTCAACCAAAATTAGATCACGAAGGTTCACCAAGCACCACAGTGTACCACAGTGTATCAGGTTCAGCAAGCATCCCTTCTTGGCTGTGCAAGTTCAAGGCTGCTTATTGGAATCTGCCTTCGTTGTTTGAGCACGCTTATTCGAAGAACATATGAGATATGAATATTTATTTATATATATATAATATATATATATATATTACACCTGGTTTGATTCAAATCTGACTTGTTGGATCCATGTCGCAGGCTATGTATACTGCCATGGTGAACCATCCCAACCGTCCCGACCGTCCAGTCCCGACATGCAAACCATTCTGCTCGTCCCGACCATCTCTGATGCTTGTCTGTTCTGATGCCTGACGCTGATCTGACCAAAGAGAATCTGATGCCTGCATCCGTCCCTCCTCCAAGCGGTCGTATCGGAAAACCGAACAACCATCGCCCGCTCTTTCTTCCCTCCCCTTGCCTTTTCCCTCTAAGCGTCCATGGAGCTCATGGCCTCTGGCCAAACATCCTGGCCAGAGACAATCCGAACGACCACATCGAATCGATCCACAAACCATCCAGGACCATCGATTTGATGGATTTCGAGCATCTGAAAAGAGGCCTCTCTAACCGGAGGCTTCCCCCGTTCGGCTGGGAGCCAAAAACCTTAAAGAACAGGAGGGCCGTGAAAGAAGAGGTGCGTTGACGAAACACGAGGAGGCGGGTCAGGATCTGAATTTCGCTTCTCAACATGCTTTGACTGTAAACCGCTTCAGTCAATTCCAAGAAGTAACTGCAACTGGCCCATGCGACCCCACTTCTGCTATCATGGATGTGCATTTAAATACGTAGACCCTCCACCCAATGGTTTTTGCTGCTGAAACCTCTGAGTTGGGAGGTCTCCCGGTCTCCCTGCCGGGTGTGGGTCAAAACCTGAACCCCTCAGGACCCCGCTGTAGGCTGTAGGTCTATTCTGGTTTCAACTACAAGTGATTGTTGATTTCAAAACCTGAAGCCCTTGTAGTCTATTCTGTTCATTTGGTCCACCCAAATCTCCACCTCTTTCAACGCGCCCGGCACAAAACACACCCTGGGTAGCGTCCGGCGCTCGTCTGAACTAACCCCCCCGGGCTGCGTGGGATCTGCGTCCTGCGCCCGCAAGATGCTGGCGATGCGTGACGCTTCAGGGCCAGGTACCTGGCAGAAACTACCCCAGATGGTCCACCTCTGTGATTTAGATCAAGGTTGCCCAGGTTGGCCAGCGATGTTGGCTTGCTGTACATGTCAGATGTCAAATGCCTTGTGGGTATAGTTTGCTTTCATTCCCTGTGGCCCTCAAGACTCAATGCAAGGCTCTCTTAAGTAACTTACATTGGGTGCTTTCAAGACCAATCCATCCGACCTGCAACAGCCAGAGAACCTGGCGAGCAGTCTGGTAAACTCTAACACATAGACATGCATAAATCACACAATAGGTGTTTGGCCGTGTTTGGCAGTGGGTCTTTGGTTTCCTGAAGAACCTCTGCAGCTCTTGTGGTGGCCCCACCCAGCCCGCGACCGGTGGAAAAACCCGCCTGCATCGCGCAAGATGTCCGCCAGCAGGCGGAGCGCGCGCAATTGCGCGCCGAAATGGAGGCGGCGACAAACACCAAGTAGGAATTTGCGGTACAAGGATATCCTAAGTGTCTGGCGCCTGATGTTTCTCTTCGCAACCATGACCATGACATGGTGTTCTCAACGAGTCATTGCATGTCGCCTTGTGATTTCTCTCCTTACCTACGGGCTCAGTGGATCTCATATGGGGACTTGCTGTTGTCAGTTGTTTGATCTGCTTGTCTGAGTTGATTGAAAAGAGCATTCTTGAGCAGGTTGTGCCCTCCCATGAAGCGCTAACTCTACTCGCATCATGTAGGTTAGCTTCAATCTCCACAGTAGGAGGTAGTGCTTTCCTACCGGATGTTGGTTCAAGTCACTGCTGCAAGTCCGTGATTTCCTTCTGGGAAAACTGTTGCCTGCCTGAGTAGCTAGCATGTGTCCGCTTCCTCTGAAAACGATTCCCATCTTGTCTCATTAATCTAGCTGACCACTTGATGTCGCGTCAGCAGAATCAAGCTCGAGCTTCCAGTGACTTGATATCACAGTACAAGATCTCAAGTCCAAGTGCCTAAACACTATCCTCTATGGTTTTGTCCTGATGATGATCCAACATCATATACACACATGTGTCTTTCATCAAAAAGCTGGAGTCGGACTGACTATGAACGACCCTTAGCAATAATAACAAAGGCTTGGTATGTGCCCCTTAAAATCGATTTCAGTATATTCCAGTTGTGTTTTCGGACGCACTCCTTCTAAGATTTTACAATTATACAATATGATGTGTATATAATATATATATATACAAACTGGTATACCAATTGGCATCCATTGAGAAGTTCAGAATGCCTTTGTGTTTTAATGCATCAATCACCGCGCAGCCTTCCAAATTTTGTGGTCCCTGTGTCCAAAATTTGCGGTTCTGAAACACAGCAACGTGGAAGTTCAACATGTTAGGAACTAATGGTTGCACTTGGTCCCAAAGGTACAGTCCATATTGCAGGGAGGCATACCAAGTGCAGAGAGCGCCAACTCACAATCAAGCTTGAAACCCCGGACGTGTGCGTCCTGCTGCTCTCTGCACACACACAGGGACACTTCACCATACTTTGAAAGCAACCAGCACCAAGGCCGGATGCTTCCTTACAGTTACAAATTCAAGCTGCCCCTATGCCAAAAGGTCCACAGAACCCTAGCAATTCAACGATCTTGGAAGGAACATGTTTGGGATCTCACCGTCCAACGACGCTTGTTTGCCTGTAATGAACATGAGACGAAACACCACCAGGACCGGGTCTATTGAAACGGTGTCACGGTGTCTACCATCTGCCCATGTGTGCCAACCTCTAACGCTTTCAGGGCCAAAGGCATCATACAAAGAACCAAAAAAAGAACTGCACCCCTTTGGGCCCACCGTCCGGTGGACGCTCAACACGAGTCCAGAGTCCAGCTTCACCGTGCGCGCCTCAGAGTCCAGCTTCACCGGAGATCGCTTCTGAATCTGAGACCTCATTTGTTGAACATGGTTGATTCTACATGCCAGTCGTTTAGGGAGTCCCAAGACCCAAGACTCGGGTGGAGCGGTTCATAACTCGGGAATCTGGTGCCTCGACCATGACATGGGTGTCAAAGAACCCACAAACACCGGCTGAAGCGAGTCCAAAGAGCACTTCTAACTTCTAATGATGATACAAGTTGATACAGATACAACCCATTGACTCCTTGCTTGCCAGGTCTCCCCTAATATACACCCAAACGCATCTGTAAGCTTCTAGCAGCAAACCCGTCGGAAATCCGTCAGCCCAAACCGAGTGGACAGCTGCGACAGCTTCGGTTGCGTCATTCGAGCCCACAACCAAGCACAGAATCAGGGCAGTTACCCTCTGACTCTGCCCTTGAGAGGCAGTTATCAAGGAACCAGGGAGAGTTGGAGCTCTCTGATTTCCAACCGGGGTCTTGGAGCTCTTGGAGTTCACCACGTTTCACGTGCTGCTTGTGACCGTTCCACTCCCTGGAGCGTGGTTGCCTGGTGGTGGAAGTGGATGGCATGCCCCGAACGAAGACCATGAAATCCTCTACTAAGGAAAGGTGGGCTTTCCATGTTAGCTGTCCTCCGAGTGTATAGCAATTCTTGTGGATGTCAAAAGTTAGAACATATACGAGCCGTTTTCGTGGTGAAGGAGGAAACTACCGACACACACACACACACACCCTGAAACAATCATGAAAGTGGAACACGGCGCTTGGAAGACTACTTTACAAACAGGGGGCTGTCCACTTCCATGTTTATTGGAGGGATTTGAAGGGATGGTAGCAATGGCCATGGCATGGCAATCCCAGGCTCTTCGACACAGCGGTCTTCACCCACCATTTTTAGATGAGACCAGTTTTGCTTTATGTCCAATCAAACAAACAGCTTGCAAATGGATCTTCATCCAGTTCATCCGATCCGTCTCTCCCACAAATGGCCATGTCGATGACCTCTTAGGCTTTTTCACTGGCCACATTGGCCTGGCCGGTCATTCGGCGAAAAAAAAGTCGCCAAGCGCTTCTTGGGCGACTGCGGGCGGCGACGGCGACGGACGAGACGACCTCGCTGTGCCGCTGTGCACGTCACCGGGTTCCCCCCGCATGTGCTGCAGGCCTCCACGCGACGTCCGCAGCGCGGAGAGAGAGCGAGAGCAGAATCGACGATCAGCGCGATCGACGATGCTCGGTGCGATGAATCGGAAGGCAAGATCGGCCGTGCGATGACGGTGCCGTAGTTTCAGGTTCAAGGCCTTGCGGCCTTGTTTATTTGGGGAAGAACTCGCTTTTCTATCTGCTTTGGGCTGATTATAGTACACAGAACAATGCCAAACACTTGAATGACAACTTTGTTTTGAAGGAAGAACACTGAAAACCGCGCCGAAACCTGAAAATGGATGAAAATGGAAGAAAGCGATGAATCATACCGATTCTGTTGAATGTATTTGAATGTAATCATCATCTGCCAAGCATATACAATATAGTTCTATATAGACCCATTCACCAAGATCCCAATGTGCATGACATTGCAGGACCCTTTGGGCAATGCCGGTTTAAAAAAAGCCTCGAGCCACTTGGCTTCCTCGGTCTCGTCTGCAATGCAGCCATCAGCCATTCCAGGTCTGAAATGGTTGAGAAGGTCCTCTAAGTGAACACCCCTGTGTAGATAGCAGTTACGGACAGCCTGGGCCACTTTTTTATGCCATGGAATATAAGTCGGTGCAGGCCATAAGCACGCACAAGATTCACAACAGGCAGAAGCGAGCCTATTCAAACCATGCAACAATGTCCCAATACACGTTGAAAAAAATAAAGAAAAAACTGGATGCCCTGGTCTATTTGGATCTCAGTTCCCTGAAAAAAGTGCCAAATGCAGAAGAGACCTCGGCCTGTATTTCGTCCATGCGGTCCATGCGTGCGCTTTCCCTGCCTAATTTCCGCATCTTCCGACAAAGATCCAGCATCTTCTTCTTTTCCACATCCAGCCTACTGAGGCAAACCCACGGCCGTCTGCTGCGGACACCCACGTCTGCACGTCTGCTGCGGATGCGGCCGCGTTTGTGCGAAAAGGTTTGTGCGCATATACGGCGACTCAATGGGTGAAGGAGCTAGGAATTGATGATTGTTTGACACTTCTTGGTGTTTTCTCACAAAGAAGGTTCGAGAATGCCATGGAAAGCCAAAGATAGAACAAGGTCGTTGTCGTTTCTTTTGGGGGCGGGTATTGCTCAGGGGACAGGCGTTTGTCATTTGTTGAGCATCTACAAACACCAAAAATGTCACGAAGGGTCTAAGACCTATAGATTGGGATTGGCGTCCAAGACTTCCTCAGAGGGCTGGATGGAGATTAGCACAGGGCAAAATGAATTTTAAAGCCTCCAAAGTTTGCACGGAGATATAAGTCGTACACTACTGGCTGGGGTGCCACAGAAGAGCCTGAACAATAAGGCTGTCCCCAAACAAACAAACAGAGGCGACATCCACCTTCCAGTAGGGTTCATGAACTTTGAACTTGACACAGTTTTTGGCTTTCTTTTGTTGTTCTGCAAGGAAACTCTGCCTGGCATACCAAAAAGCATCGAAAAACATCTCTCTCCATGCCTATCGGCCAGCACATGCTCCACGAAGCTGAGCCTTAGAGCCCACATAGACTGTATAGCTATGGCAGTAGTAGGTATTCACAAGCTACCACTACTCACCCACCTATGTTGGTGTGTTATTTAATAGAGAGACCCCCTGACCCCCAATGGGTTTAGGTCTATTTCGCTTCTTCCAGGGGGCCGAACTGGTAGGGTCTCCGTGCCCAACCTGAGACCCCAGAGGCTGGTCCAAACTCGAGGCTGGTCGTGGTTCTCCAGGGACAACAGGCTTCATCAACGCTTCGTGGGTGAATTCTCTTTTTTTTCTCAGGGTCCATGTTCGTCTGTGGGGTGTAACATGGCGTAACCACCGGTCTTCTTTGCTTCGTCTTGTGGCGTGTGGATGAGGGATATGAGCGATATGAGCACCAAATCTGGCCACCATCGTGCTCCCGTGCAGTCGGTGTTCCCGGCCCAAGCGGCTCGAGAGGGCCCGAGGATTGGGCAATCTGCTTGTTTGAATGTGTGTCAGAATCGCCATGAATCATCCATTTGTTCCGTTGACGTGGGAATCGCTTGTGTTCTTCCACATCTTCTAGAAAACGTTTGCTGATGGGCACCCAGCCCGAAGAAGCGCATTCCAGAGATTCATTCGTTCGAGGCGCTTGTTGAAGATCACCGCCAGCTCTCGCTCCATCTTCACAAGCAGAAAGGCCTGGAAAACGGAAGTTCCACCAGACACGCCGCTGGTTTCACCAATTTCTAGGCAGAGCTCCACCGGAGCCTCGACTCTGTCCAATCTCTCCATGTCGGGACCCCACATGGAGCTTCACCGGACCTTTCTTCCAACCTTTGACGGAACTCGAGCAAGTTGGCTGGACCCTTTTTTGGAAGGCCCGTTTGGTTCGAAAACCTTGCTTGAGCTCGCTTTGGGGATCGAACGGAAGTTTCTTTGCGACCCGTAACGACAAGTCACCCCAGTCGTCTCTTCCGACTCAACTCAGGAAGCTGGACTCGACTCTGCAAGCATCGTGTGATGAAGAGAAAATGTAACGCCAAGTAACCAAGTAGATAGACGCATCTTCCAGATTTTTCATGGATCGTTCGATCGTTCTTCGCTTGAAGATTGTGTTTTCAGCATTCCAAGTTATACGGGGCCGTGGTGGCCACCATTGCTGTATCTAGATGAATTGCCAAGTTCTTCCGCCGAGCTGGTCCCGGTCCTTCCCGGTCCGTTGAAAAACCACAACGTGCCCGGCGGGTACGAAGAAGCGCGGGGGACGTCCAAAAATACATTGAATTCAAACCTGAGTGACCTCCATTTTGGACCACCAACCACCCAAAATATTGCCTTTTCCTATCAAAACAGAGGTCAAATGGCCAAACAGTTGCAAGCAAGAGCTCATACGCTGTTTTCAACCATGAACCAAAGACCATTAATACTACAATAGGTCGATGATGTTCAGCATGTGGGTCCACCGCTCCATCCAGCTCCATCCTTGCGGCGCTCGTAGGCTGCATAGCGCACCGGCAGGAAGGCACGCAGGATGTCCTGCTAGAGCTCAACACGGAGGTCGGCGCGAGCTCCGCGCGGTTTCAGCGAGGCGGATGGGTGTTGAGACGCTTTCCGCGATGGTGGAGACGCTGAGCGTGGCCAAACCGGGAAGGGTTGGATTTCAGAGATGAAAAATGGACTCATGCTGTAGAAACAAATCATGCGTTGTTCGACCCAAACAAATTCACCATCTCGGCACCCCCTGCAAGACTTGTGCATGTAAAGAATGATGGCCGCACCGGGCCGCGACAGGGGATGTCCTCCCTCTTCCAAAGTGGGCGTATCGACAGGACAAGTACTTAGACCGCATGGGCCGCAGCGGTCCCTGTTTGCCCTCTCTTTGCTCTCTCTTGCTCCTCTCATCTCCTTTTGCTTTCTCCCTTTGCTCTCTTCTTCTTTTCCTCTTTGCTTTCTCCCTTTGCTCTCTCACTCTTTGATCTTTTCCTCCTCTCTCTCTCTCTCTCTCTTCTTCTGCGTCACGACCACTGGCCTCCGGGCTATCGTATTTCTGGATCTTCCCTTCGGAATCAAAGAGCCACATGTTGCTGGTGCTGATACCTGCGAGCGGTCAGAACTTCCAACGGAGCAACGCGGTGAACATGGGTTCAAGGTTTAGGGTTTAGCGTTTTAGGGTTACTGAGGACAGCTCAAATTGTGTGCAAAGTATGAACATTTGCTTTCCCAATAAGCTCTTATCAGCGCCTATCACCACGTTGGTTTTTGACCAATGCACCAAAACGAGGTCGGTATATGTAAATGCATTTAAAGATGTATAAAGTATCGTGGAGTTTCATGGAACTTCCCACATATACCACAATAGCCTTTCATCCTCTGCCAGCCACATCAGCCATCTCAACTGGTGAGTTCCATACACTTATTGCATTGCAGTCCTTTCCCACCCAAGTGAAAGATTGAATCCAAAAGGGGTCGACCGATCCCCACCGGGCACGCGCGATGTCACGCGCGCAACGCGCCGATCCTCACCTGATCTGCCACTTTCTCCCTTCGCTTCACTGCTGAGAGGTGGCTCAACACATGGCAGTAGACTTCAGACTTTGCAGTAGCAGTACTCCTCCAATGGCAATATGTTTGGAACCTTGGACTGTGCATATCACAAGATTATTGAGCCACATCCACATGGACCATGTTTTGATCCAAGTGAAGTGTGCTAACGAGCCCTTCCATTGTTTCAACAGAAGGGTCGAACCGATTTCTCTGCAGCGCTGTGCCTGTTGTCTCATCGCCTCAGTCTCATTTCTCAACGGTGAATCCGTAAACGGGGCCCTCCGGAGGACGAAGACACCGCATCGGTCTCTTCCGAGACACGGCACCTGCTGGTTGCTAGCTGCTAGATGCCTGGATACATGAGGTTCCATCCAGCAGTCACATGTCGGGGTGGTGTTTAGTCCCTAAGTGAGTGGATAATGGGCACCCCTAACCTCCATTAAGCACCCCTTTGTGACTGCCACTGCTGGTATATAGATTTTTCTTCCCAGAGGGGTCCCCATGTTCATGGTCCATATGACCGAGGGCAAAACAAAGGGAATGAGCATGTGGGAAAGGGTAAGAACACCATAGATCCTCGTGCTGGTTCATATTCTTTACTGCTTCTCATCTGAAGAACAAACACACAATGTCTTGCCGTGCTTTCCTCTCTCGTGAACGAGAAAAACCGCAAATCTGGCTGCCCGGCACGAGATCGCGCGACACAGAACACCGACGCGTACTCACCTGCTCACTCCTTCCGCGTGTCCTTGCGCCAGCGGGACCTGTGCAGGAACTCAACCGACCAAGAGGTGTTGCCTCAACAAAATAAAAGCCACAGTGCCACGGAGGTCTTTGGATTGAAGATCCAAGAGGTGTTGCCACCCTACAGCTCCTACGGTCCTGACTTCCTCATGAACACTTGGATGTGCCCATCCAGGAGGTATAGATTCCGTTCCATTCCCAAAGAAAGGCTGTCTAGACTCTGACTTATTGGGAGCCATGTGGATGATTCGGACACCCCTACAAGTTCTGCAACTGGCCAACATTGTAGGTCTATCAAAACATATGTACCACATTGTACCACCATGCATTTTGAGGCCAGGCCTTTTCACCACGTGAATCAACCACGTGAATCACGTGGTGCTGGGTACCAACTGCTGGCCTGGGGCACGCCAGGAAAAGAGCTAGAAGCACCAGCACAAGCCCAACGATGTCTAAGATCCAGCTGGTCCCCTGGCGACTTCGCGTGCTGGCGCACGGACCAGTGGAGTGGCTCGGAGCCCCAACACGGCTGGCCTGATGGGAATTTGGTGCCGCCCAAATGCACCCAGAAGAGGATTTGAAGAGTTATGTGTCCACGTCATGTTCCTTCAAACTCACGGCGATGCCGTACGAGCGTTTCTGTACGTAGTATGGACATGAGAGACGTGAGATGAGAACTTCTATGATTTGTCTGATGGTCACCCCGAAGAACCAGCATTCTTCTGCTTTTTCGAGGTGGCATGAAATCCTGCAGCATGTGTGGTGCCCCATTCGCATCCCCAAGCTTGGCTTCGTTGACATCTGCTTTGAATGAGCGTCTAGTGCGACCTAGGGGTGGCCACATCCTCAGCTTCATGGGCCCCTTGAACGTCCAAGCTACTTAACCAAGCTACTTCATCCCTTGGAGAGAGACTCCACTGTGATCACGGTGGATCATGGTAACCGAATGGGATCTTTTGACAAGCTTGAGGGGCTGAAACTGACTGGGAAGCACAGAAGGGGCTGCCCACTGCGGCTTGAGATTCACCAAAAGCGGCCAACGTCAAAAATACCTCCAAAACCAACCCAGCATTTCAGAAAGAACCTCCCCATGTTGCACCTATGAATCTACAAATCCTGGACCCTTTCGCTGCCCAGAAGCCATCTCTCTTTTGTTCGGTCCAAACCAACCCCTTTAGTTCAAGCCCAGAGTTTAAAAGCCATGTGAAACTTCTTCACTTGCAGCACCTGCAGCACTTGCACTTCTGCAGACCGCAGACCAGTCAGTCTCGGTCGTCACCGTCCGACCGACCTCCACTCCAAAGGAGCCACCGCGGCCGACAGCGCCGGCGTCCGACATCGGCCACGTGGACGTGGCGCCCTGGCCGCGGAGGGGGAGGAATGACGGAAGGACGTTGAGACGTATCGACCCCAAAATTTTTTTAAGGTGGATTCAATGTCGTTGCAGTCTGTTTTTCCAAACATTTGATGGACAAGAAGCCATTGGGTTTGGTAAGCGGTCCGTCGGTCCGTCTCCGTAGCCCGAAGATCAAACGCTTCAACACTCCCTCGACATGTTCAAAAGCTGCTTAGCAGGACAGAAACCCTCCATGTTCCCTGGTCTTGTCAGTCTCCAAAGGTTCTTTTAAGGTCTCAAAACATAGAACATGCGGTGGAATTCACCTTCTCCTATCTATGGAATATATGCCTGGCTTTGTGCCGACATTGTAGGCAAATAATGGTCCTATACAGTACAATATACCATACATGGAGTGTCTGGGTACGTCTCACCCGCCCCGTGTTTTTCCATCGCGCCTGTTCCGGAGCTTCGATCACCACCTCCTCCACCACGACAGATGCCGAAGGCGCCGGTAGCGCGTTCGCCGCGCGCGTCTGGCGCTGCTCCGCAGAACGCTCGGCCGACTGGCGTACCTGGCCGCGGAACGCACGTATGTTAGTATCGTCTTATATAGTACGTAACATTCGAAAGCACTGAAAACGCATGAAGATTGTTTTGGTGAGACTTCGGAAGGTCTAAGTATAGTGCCAATCACAGGTTGCTCTTTTTCAGAATTCCTTTTTTGAAGCACCAGATAGGTGGATTCTATCAGACTTTTTGTCAACCACATTGCGTCCGACTTTCTCAACCACTTTGTCAACGATGCCAATCATATCAACATGACCATGGACAGCTGTGGGAAGTTCACCCCGTGGTGTTGTGTCGTCGGCGAACATGGCACGCTGCTGTTGCTCGAACAGCGCGTCTTCTCGAAAGCCCTGCGAGTTGCGAACATGGCACGTGGCTTGCATATTGGTTATCACATGTTATCACCTTCATTGCGGCTGCAGCCGTTCGCCACTGTTGAACCACCAAGGCCGCACCTCTGATCCCAAAATCCGCGTCAAAGCACCAAGCAAGCTGCCAAAAAGTTTGAAGTCCCGTGGTCGTCCTCCAGACAAACCTCCTGAGTTGCTGGGTGCCAGCTTTTTACTTGATGGCGAGCCAGCTAAGCCAACTAAGCCAGATAGGCTATATAATACACAACATTTATAGATACATTTCGGACTTCCAGGATGATAGCCTGATAGCTTAGCAGGCTTAGCCAACCTCTCTCTCCATTCGGACTTCCAGGATTGCCTGGCCCTCTCTCCATGAGTTAAGAGACCACCGATGTTCCAGGTAGATCGAACCTGTGGGTGTTCCGTTTCATCCGTTTGTGGCCCAACGGTCATGCGGTGCATCACCTAGGACCTCTCTCGGACCACATGGAAGCCCCAAAACCACGTCCGGGTTGTACAGGAAAATGAGCGGTCCATTCTCAGGTTTCATGTTAGGCGGGTAACATGCATCTCGCGGTTCTGGCCGTCACTTCCCCCTGCACCTGGCGTGCTGCACGGTGGAGCGCTCCGCGGAAGGAGGAGACCTGGCGCACCGCGCTTCGTCCCTCGTTTCATTACTGCCGCCGTAGGGTCACTGGAGGCAAAGAGGTTCCACCCGAGCATCACCGGAAACAAGAGACCTGATCCAGACCGATTTGCTGTAAATCAACCGACACTCCGGCAAAATGTGTTCCTTTTACGCCGCCAGGGGGCTGGAAGAAACCACCCTACCCCTACCTGGATGGGACATGGTGCTGTCATGGACCCATGGAGATCCATGGTGCTGTCACCCTTCCAGCCCGCTATGTCACGGTCAGATGGTTTGTAAACATGTGGTAAACCTCACTGAGGAATGTCCACTAATCTTTTTCCATCATCTTAAGTGGGGTCAGTTGCTGGGGTCATCGGCTGTTCGGACGTACAGGCCGAAGCCGGATGTCAAAACTTTGCTTTTCAGTGATTCAATGATTGACCAATTGAACAAAGAAAGCACCAACAAGTGCCTACTTGTTTGACCTTACTATTCATACTTTTTTCATACTACTGACTGATTCCCAGTTGTTTCATAGCTTGCTGGTGTCTGGGCTTGCTGGTCCACCGTCGGCTCTTCGGACCCTTCAGCGGATGCCCATTCGGACTACCATCCGGCACCCACGGCCCAGCATGGCCAAGGTCGTTCACCATGCGTGGCGTGGAGACCGGTCGTTCCAGTGACCGGTGGGTTTGGCCCTCAGCCAGGGTTCCTTGTGACCGGTGGTTCGCAGAGGTCCGAAGGGCACTGTTCAGCCCATGATGGATTGGAGGGAGGATCTGACGCAGCACGCTGCAATGGCATTGTTGATTTTGGTCTGTTTGTTCTTTTGGGAATAGCTCCCTTATGAGGGCAACCTAGGAAGGTTCCCAGCGGTGTAGTCGTCGTTTTCTGGTGCCTCCTCTGAGGAGGGTGCCGTTTTGTCTGTGGCAATGGGGTCATCTCCCCCAAACTGCTTGGGCTTTAGTTCGGGTAGGGCGCAGCCGGCACAGCGCCTCCCCCCCAGAGCGCACCAAGTCAAGTGCCAAGCCAGCAAAAAGCTAACAAATGCCAACAGAAAAAAATATCAAAGCCTAATTAGCCATCACAGTCCAACAACATCCACGAGAACCAAAAACAAACCATCAAAAACCAAACCAACCTGCGACCAAACATCAGCCCAAAGCCACATAAAGCCACATAAACAGCCAAAAGCCGCAGAACCCACCGAACTCAAAAGCCACCAAAAGCCCTAGAAGCCACCAAGACACAGATGCCAAAAGCCAAGTTGCATAAACAAACATTATATATATGTTTACAAATATTTTAAAAAGGAAACATCACCCTCCAGCAGAAAAGGCGAGACACGCGCGTTCTTCGGCGAATTTCTGAACCCCGCACCACGTTGCCCAACTGTCCGGACGTCTCGGGTGACAAGAACCGCAAGATGCCGCCCATTCCTGGGAACTGCATGGATCTCAATGGAGTAGATGCACTGGTTTCAGAGTAGATGGCACCTCAACACCTCAAGATGTCCTTTCTACTATTGGCGTCCATTTTTCATCCACTGTATACACACCATATATGAATAGTATGGTGGGAAGAGCCATTGGGAGGCGTACCCTCCCTGAACTCATGGATGGCATGACCCCATAAGGATGACCATCTCCACTTTTATTTTCGCTTCATAGCTTGTTATCACGAGGTACTCGCGACACACAAGAAGCTGGGTGTGGTATACGGAACGACAGATTGCGGTGTTCGCAGATTCAGATGTGGTCCTGATACGTAACACCTGTTGAAGGGCGCAAGTATAGGTCTGGGACTTTCAGTGACAGTGTCAATCCGGAAATCTCACAAAATTTCAAGATCCAATCCAATCTACTGCTTTGATACCGACATGAGCCTCTAGGCCGACATCGGCAGCTTTAAGCCTGACATCGGCGGCAGAGCACGTCTTCCAATCGGCCTCGGACTGGACGCGATCCAGTCAGTCAGCCCACGTCTCTCCAAATGTTCAGATTCGCCCCACCCTATCAGAGTATATTGAACATGATATACATCCCCAGGGCGAATCTGAACATAGCAATATATCATCCCCAGGGCGATTATGTATATCATATTGAATGATATTGAATGATATACATCCCCAGGCCATAGCAATTTCATTGCCCACCAGACCCGTCGTCGGCTCCGTGCCGAACCCGCAGCCGTGACTCTGAGCTTGGAGTAGGCAATGGCTGTGCCCACGATGGGACTCGAGCGCCACAAAACGACCTCCAAACGGTCAACGACCGCAGCTCAGCTCGAACTCGCAGAAGGAACTCCATCGAACACCCATTAGTCTGACTACCTTGAAGGTCTAATCACAAAAATGTCATAAACATCTCTAATGATATGAGATGTGCAGCTGAAGCGCTCTGTTTGGGATGGAACATATCCAGAACATGTTCGCTCTAATCCCAAACAGACCGCTTCAGCTGCGCCCATGCCACCATTGTCCCTCGAGAGGTCGCACGCGAAGGCGCCCAGGGCGCCTGCACGGCCGGTGCGGCCTCGGCGGCCGAGGGCGCCTCCACGGTGATGTCCAAGGCGCGCAGCCTCGGACAGAGCGGTCGAGTCGATCGAGTGAACCGCATCACTTGACATCGGTTGAACGTGGGGGGGGTGGATCGGAGGGGTGGAACAGATGGGTGGATCGGATGGGTTATGGTCGAAAAGGAGGGCCTGGAGCAAAGGAGATGGACTGTGTGATTTACCAGCATCAGCCTGACTGCTCACCATATCTCACCATCCAATTTTTATATTTATATAAGTATAGACCTCTGTTGGTTTCCATCATTGACATTCATTGACTTTGATGTTGATTCATATTGATTCATGTGATGTCAATTCCAGGCTACTAGTACGACTGCTACAGCTAGGGTAGAAGATGGTAGAAGTGATCTCGAGTTTGATGTCAATGCACAAAACATCAGACTGACGGAGCTCTGTGCTTTCAACACGACTCTAGTTCCTGCTACCTTAAAGCGCCATAGCCATAGCCATTCCTTCCGTGTTTCCAGTCCTTTGCATCTCCTGGGGCGGCACATCCGGCACATCCGGCCCAACCATTGAGCGCAACGGAACCGTCCGGACGTTCCCTTGACCGGTCGCACGGTCCAAGGAGAACTCTTTTGGAAAGCATCTTTGGGGGGCTCAATGCACACTGCATGTAGACTCTAAATGTAGACTCCAAGACTCCAAATTCATCTTTAAACACATTTGACATGCATGAAAAAAAACATGAAAAAATATGAAACATATCTTCATCAACGGGTGAATTAACCAAGAGTCTACGTGAACCTTGCGTTCTATCAGATAGCTATCAGCCTTCCCGCGCCGATCGCATGTCCACCATTGCCGCACCCGCCTTGCGCGGGGGAAGAGCGGCACCGCGCCCAGGGTGAAGTTCTCCGTCACGCCGGGCGCCTGGAAGATCGGCAGGATCGCTGCGGAGTGAGGATTTGGGTGCTTGTTGATACACTATATATACATCTGTGCAGTCTTGAAAGGAGGGGGTCATTTCCTGTCCCGAGTCTGGGACTTTTGAGCATTTACATACATTTACACAAGATATGTTGTTGGAAGAATTGTTTCGATGACGTGTCGCAGGCTTCGGCGCCCGGCTGGCGCTTCGCCGGCTGGCGCCGGCTGGCCCACGGCATCGAATGAACTCCTCTACGGAAGATGATTTGAAGATGATTTGAAGTATCAGGAACCCAGTTGGTCAGCTCCTTACCTCTGGTCATTCGATTGGTTCATTCCCGTGCCTTCGGCCACACACACACTTGTCTCAAAGGGTCCAGGAGGAGTCGTTCAAACCGGCCCAGGCACCGGCTGGTACAAACCCAAGGCGGAGAGCACGTACCAGGAGCCCATCTCCCCGTTGTCCTGGGTGCTTCGGATTTGGATGGGTTTGTTCATGTTTTTTCTTGATCTGTGGAGTGGATTTGGTCTGGGTTTGGTCTGGAATCAATGATATATCATGATAGAATCAATGATATACTATGGTCATCTATGATCCTAAAAGTGGATGCAAGTGGATGAGAGACATTCCAAGCACTTTAATCTATTGTGGCGCTCTTAAATGTAAAACTCTCCAAACGATCACCCCACACTCTTTGCCTGCTCGTTTCTTGGACCATCCACCCTGCGCCATCTCTGTGAACCTGGACCTTCTCGCACATCACCCTCCACCGCCCTCCTGCAACTTCCACCTTTCTGGTGACCTCCCCTCCCCACCATCTCCTCGTCTCCCGCGAAGCCCTCGGGCGAGTAGGCGCGCGAGAGGATGTCCCGCACCAGACGAGCCGTGCGGTTCTGATCCCCGAGGAGCGAAAACCTCGGCCACGAGCCGCGCGCGGGTGGCACGCGCGGGTGGCACCGTGTGAGCCTCGCGAGCGAGCATCTGTGCGGTGTGGATCCCGGACGTTGACCAACATTCTTGGCACAAAGACTGTACTAAGAGAGAATCACAACTCATCCGCTCGAAGCTAGTTGAGTCCTCTCCTTCCAAAGTGAGAAAAAATATATAGAATAAAAACTGCGAAAGAAGATGCAACAAGTGCGGACCGAATAGCCGTTGAACGGTTCCTTCAGCTGTTCCGAAGAGCTTTTCGCCATTCCCGGTGTAGGTGGGCGGACATGGGCGGACCTGATTGACCTCTCTCTTTTGCCATCTGTGTGGCATTCCTTGACAGTGCTAAATCCCAAGTACTGGTAACACGAGTACAGAGAAAGACCCCAAAACTGGACTCCATTCTGCGTGTCACAGCGCCACTGTCCATGCCACATGCGGTGGAGCCCATGCGCCCGAGCAGCAGGTACGGAAGATGATGTGTTGGCTGATTGTTGTGGGCATACTGACCTGACTGGCCAGCTGAGTAGCAGGTCAGAGACCACGAAGGGTGGTGGAATCGGAGGCATTTGGGGGCTGCCAACAAAAACTGCCAAGCCACAGTGGCTGGAGTTGTTGGTCTGGCGTAAAGTTCTGGTTCAAACAAACAGTGGGTTGGACATGGTTGGACAATGATCATGCTTGTTGACCCGCTTTATTGCTTTTCAGGGGTTGGACAATCGTAGATGCCTGTGACCCTATGCCAGTCACAGGTAGCACTCTGGATACCTATGCCCGAACTTGCAGCAACACCACCAAGCCAGGAACAAAGTCCTTTTCTGGTTTCGACGATCACCACACTGCTGGGTACAGGTGACCACAACTAAACATTATATAATTAGTTTAAAACAGGTGTTTAAAAAGTAACTAGCAATAAATAAATCAATAAATTAAGACATAGGCCCACCATGGCCCACGGGTCTTTGAGGCTTTTCTACGTGGCTCAAACCGGATCTTTCCCAAACCTCTGCCCGAAACCATCCGAGGTCCGAAAGCGACACATCCCATGCTCGGCCTAGGAGCCCATCCCCAACATCCTCATCTCTCGCATCTCGTGGATCTCGCCCTGCCGAAGGGTCGGTCGACCGAAAACCCATTGGGGGTTCGGACGCTGAAGGGTCGACCGAAGGGGAAGAGCATGAAGGGTCCCTTTCCCTCCACCGCCCTATCCGATTGGGATCTACTTGGATCATCCAGAATTATCGTACAAGAACGAAGCTAAATGAAACTAAAATCCTCTTTGCAGCCGTTGGAGAAGGGTGAGGACAGAAGTACTTGATCTGGCCAATTCCTCAAACACCAATGAACGTAATCAGTTGGTTCGACCCAAGAGGTCGAGCCTTTCTCCCACCTTGTAGGAGCCTGTCTTGAAATCCGCAGGCACGGTGAAGAGTGACTCCAGTTTTGCCACCAAGCCCTCACGTCCACCATGCAACTCCTCAGCTTCGCTCGCTCCCGGCCCTGCGACGTGGCTGAGGTCTTTACGACCAGTGCCACGTCCAAACGACCACGGGGTCCACCCGGGCTGAGCCCAGTGGGTCGCCACGGAAACGAACTGAAAACGCACGGGTGGTTTAACCTACTTGAATAAGTCGGAAACGAACCCCACGTGTTTCTTGGAACAAGCGACGAGCCACAGCCACGACAGCCACTTACCTTGAAACCTGGGCGAGCCAGAGACCCGGGTCCTGGTTCTTCACCCGAAAACCCGGGCCCAGCTGGACGACTCGCCGACTAGCCGAACAGCTCTTCGTATCTGGAGCTTCACCGAGCGAAACGAACCGAAATGGGACGATCCTCCCTTTCGCAACGGATCATGGGAAGTGAGAAGGCATCCAAAATACCACCTGCTAACCTGCAGATGAATATATACTTGAACCCCAAATTTCACCTCCAAGAGGGGTGAAACCTGGGCTCTTCTCTACCTTCCTCCTTGACATCTGTGTCTTCAAATCTTCGCTCTGGCAACACCTCTGCCTCATCTGCCCACACCCAAATCTGTGCTCGTTTCGGTGCGACCGAAGGAGTCTCTCACCTCTCTCACCCGTCCGCCACCTCTCACGCAGCCAGGCATCTGCCAAGGTCTCCAGGTCGAAGGGAGGGAAGGAGTGATGCCACGCCGAGCCCTCGGAAGGTACCGGGCAGGCTGTCGTGAACCGCGCGCGCGGTGAGTGAGACGATAGAGATTTGTATGGAAATATGTATATTAATATATATATATATATATTATATATATTATATATATATTATATATGCGCTCCTTTTCTGGTTTCGTTTGCTCCCGTACGGATATGGATATATATATATATAATTACATGCGAGCACTCCTTTGGTGACCAGAGGTTCTTTTTGGACAGGAGCGGCATTGCAGGTCGCCGTAGCCTTCCAAGACCATTTTGATAATGGTGGACCTGGTTTTGTGTAAAATCTAGTAAACTAATGGTTGTGCTCTAAAGCCTATTGTATAAACTACTGGTGGGAGGAATCCTAATGCCTGTTTAAAGAAATACATGTATCCAGTGTGTCAACAAATGGTGCGTACGGATGTATTTTGCTGTTGACAGTGCACCGATTTGGCAGTGCAACCCTGCTGGAACAAAAAAAGTGTACAGCATCTGCAATGCAATGCAGCAAAGTTTCAACTAAAACCTCAGCAATTCATTTCCTAGACTGACATAGGACGGACCTATGTTTACCAATAGTTTACCAGGCCATCTTCCCACACCAGCGGGTTGCAAATGCAATTTGAAAGGTTCTACGTATTCATCTCCAGCAAAAGCATCTCTGTTAAACTGTACAATTACAAAGACAATCCAAGATTTGTATCCGCTAGAGAGATGTTCATCTTCCGGATGTTGCAGGAAGAAGAATGCATAGTGTCAAATGGCTGGAAAAATGCTGAAAATACGGCTGTCAGCATCTCAGATCTATTCCCCCTGGCTCCCGTTACCACACCGTGTGCGACCACTGCGAAGCCGCCTCAGCCGCTCCCCCCGGCCGTCCCCTCTCCAAACACCGCGGTCCCTCGGTTTGTTGGCACCGGCCTCGGTGTAGCAATCGCCCCAGGTCTCCGGCGCTTCCTCCACGAAGTCCTGCGAGGCACGGAGCCACCCGCCGGTCGATTCGGGGCCGGAAGAGCTGAAGAGGAAGGGCTGAAGTGGCTGGCCGAGCGGCACAAGAGCGGCACCACGGGCAGTCATGACTGAACAAGGATGTTTGTGATTGTTGTTTCGAGTCGTTCCTGTGTGTGGTTTGATCCATGCTGTAGAATCTAGTGTGAGTAGAACTATAGTCATGATTGATCCTACAACACTTGGATTGATCAATCTTTTCACAGGAGTCCTCTCTCATGAAGATTTGTGTTTCAGGACTTCAGGACAACAGTAGTATAGGCAGGATACTTCTTCCCAATATGAGAGATACTTAACCTGTCATGAACAGCCACAAAGCTAAGTCAATGATCAAACATTCCATTATAAAAAGATATCAGCAAATCCAAGACTAAAGAACCAGGAGCACCAACATGTTGCCGTTGAACTCAGTCGTATGGCTGTGGGTTTCTCAGCTCTCACACCTCACGAACGCTCCGTTCGTTCGATCGCGGTCGACCGGTCGAACATCAAACCGCCATCACCATCACGATGGATGATGGTGATCATGCTGATGGATCATGGATCCTGGTGCCAGAATCAAAGCATCGTCACTCGCCATCTTGTACATGACATCCCCTGCAGTGCACATCCCCTTGACATCCCGAACCTCTGCGCTCCCAGGTACACTTGTTCACGCATCCCACGCGCTCGTCCCCCTCGTCCGCCCTCGTCCCTCAGGACCTGATTCTTCTTGCGATGCCCCATCAAGCCCGTCTTGGCGTCATAGAGCTCTCGCAACGCCTGGAGAGTCAGAGGGTTCGAAGACGAGTCAGAGGGCTCCAAACGCCTCAACTCGAGAAGGAAAATATAGAAGTGATCTCTGGCCCTTGGGGATGTGGCTAAAAAGTCACTGTCACATATGTATAGATATATGATGTGACATTATAATATAACTATACTAGTTATTATATATGCCGTATATTGCTGTATACAGCTTTTTTTATATGATCCATGGTGTCATACAGATCGACCCCAAAGACCCTGCCCACCTGACCCACCCCACCTGACCCGCAGCCGGCCTTCCGGGACCCCCACCCGGTACTCCGCCTCTCCCGGCCTTTCGGCTCCGCTGCTGCAGCTCCTCCGCCTCCGCGACCCGCCGCGTGCGCCGCGCCACGGCGGCACAGGCCGCATCTGCGAAGGCGAAGTCCAGGGTGCGGCTGCAGGCCTCCGGGAGAGCGCACCGGAGACAGAGAAATGGGCCAATGGGCGGTGTTTCACCCCACGGCCGCCGGTGAAAATCTTCGCCGCAATCTGCCGGTTTTGGCATGTTTGTTCTATGTTTTTCTGAATTCATGGGTGTTTTAAAAGGCCTTACTGTAGCTGTTTTCGTGTCCGTGGTTCTCGTCACCCCCGTCCGGTTGTGTACTCCAAAGAAAAGGGGCTCACACGAAACAACAACTCCAAACACCAAACGCGAAACAACAGAGTCGTAAGCCAAAAATCACCACATGCACTCATAGACTTGTTTGCTCCCCCCTCATGGCCCCAGCACCTCAACAAAACACTTGGCAAAATCGATGACCCCCCCGCAAGGGTGGCGTATCAGCCACGGTGGTGTGTGGGAGTCCAAGTGCGAGTACAGAAGTGAGTGATGCGAGAGTGAGACCTTTGAAGTGCTAGTTCCTCATTGACCACATTGCCCAGTGAGGCTGATCATCTGTGAAGAAGGGTCCGGCGCTGATGCTGATCGTCAGGGGCGATAGATGGAGGGTGCATCCAAGCACGTTCCCCTTTCGGAAGTTGCTCCACATCGAAGAACACGTGGTCCGGACCAGGTCCGAAAGGACCAGGTCGGTCCAAAGTCCGGTCTTCCGGGCTGGTGGATCTGTCCACATCGATGGAGTGGAGCTGTCGCTCGCCCACGCCTCGCTCACACCCACGTCGATGGGGACGAAGCCTTTCTCCTTCCGATGGACGTCGCGGACGAAAATCGAAGGCTCAACGCGGGTCAAAACCGAGGAACCCCAAACCCATGGTAAGTTATGGTAAGTTCACATGCGTGTTTGTCCATTTGGTTCCTTGTATTTTCATTCAGGTTGTATGTTATATTGCTGGAAAACAACTACCTATGCATCGGGCGATGTTCATTTCGGATATGGGGTCTGATATATTCTGATATGATCTGATACGTGATATAGCTTTTAGTATTATATAGCTCTAAATTGACATTATGATATTATGGGTCTGTGTCCTTGTACACCGCATCGAAAATGATCGAAATAAGTTCCCACCCTGTTGGAGGAATGGATATGAGCCAGCGTCTAAATTATTGGTTTGGGCTGCATTCATAAGTGAATTTGGGCATCCCCTATCGTTTTTCAGGTTTAGACACTTTGGGGTGGGTATCGTTTTGGGGTACCGTTTTGGGGGCGTCTCCTATCGTGTTTGGGGTGGGGCTATAAGAACACAAACGTTCCATATAACATGCATTTACAACCAATTGGGCTACAACTCAATATATAAAATCATGTGTATATATATATATAACGTATAACCGCTTTGCAGCTGACGGGCCAAATCGTTCAAGCGTTTGAGACTTTTTCTCGAGAGCATGTGATCCTCCACCATCGTGTGACGCGCTCCCCAAATCGGTTCCGAAGTGCAGCTGATTGGCGTGAGCAAGCATGTGGACTTCAGCGAACCATGGTCGTTGGTCCTTTTTTTTCATCGCAGGCCTTAAATGGTCACCAATCTCTGATGTTGTTCTTTCCAGAAAACACATGGCACATACGGCTGGGTGATTTTTTTTGCGACCCAAACTGCCTGGAGGCTGTGAAACACAACATGTTGGAGGTGTCTTGTTTGACCAACATGTCGCGTTGCGCGTACCACAGCGGGGCCTTGTAATGTTCCAGGCCCTTCTTCCCACGGGAGGAATCTTTCTTGTAGACCTGAAAACGATGTGGACTGGCACGTGTCCAACTTACTCCCATGTGAGTCTAGCAGTTTCTTGCTCCATTCTTGCACTGCAACGTTTGGACCGAGGTGTGAAGAAAAGCCGTCGTTTTGACGAGTGTATCATGAGGTAGATTGCATGTCTCGTCTCCAGGGAGGGTTATGATAAGACAGCCACTGTCATTTCTATCTCCAGGTCGCAGAAAATGTCGGGTGCCTCAGAGGTCTAGAGACGCACTCGACATGTCTTGGCTTTAATCCATCGGAACGATGATGAAGAAACCGTCTCGATGTCGGCGAGGAGGTTCTGAAGCTTTTTTCTCGGATCGATGTGGATCGATGTGGATAGATGTCCAAAGATAGAGATGAAACATGATCAAACTCTGTGAATCTAGCTTGGCAAGTTTGGGAAGGTCTTGACCAACATCTGCATATATTATATGTCAATGAGCTGAGCTGAGAATGCTAATTCTCCTCGGCAGTTGTTGGGCCTAAGAATGCTTTTAAAGTCTCGTCCGTCCCGTTTGCCCAACCCCAACTCACCATCAACCGTTGTACAACAGTTGGGCCGCATGTCATGGATGGATCTCCACTCTTAGAACTTGGAGGTGAATTTGTGTATGAATTTCAGTGTGTAGGCCCGCGCCTCCCAAAAAAAAGGTGGAATACACATTCGAACAAATTCAGAAAGACCCCCTGTACATCTCCACACCTCGTAGGCATCTTTGTACAAGGCTTGCCAGACCAGGTCGAGGTCAAAGCCTCGGAGAGTGGACATCCGTCTGCCTCGTGGGTTCACCGAGGGTGGTTCTTCATCCGAATCTTGAGTGGGGCGGCATTCTCTCATTCCCTACTTTGGTCGCAGCCAGAAGTGTCCGATGACGCCAAATCAAAGGCTTTGAATGGGAAGGACGAAGTTTCCACGCGATCCACTCGGGTTCCTCAGTGGATCTGACAAAGAGAAGTGAGAAGTTCTTCAAAAATGACTCCATCGCGATGAATCCAGAGATCTTGGCCCCAAATGAAAAGTCAAGTTCGTTCCGTGCTCAAAGACTAAGGGCTTGTTCAGATGGTTTCTTTCATTAACGCATTCAGACAAGGACCCTGACGCATGCTCAAATCGGCAACGATAGTTGAACCTTGAAAAGGGGAGAGAGCTAGCAGCTAGCCATCAAGAAAAGAATGCCAATCCTCTACCACTTAAGTTCCGCTGCTCCTTGTGTCCATAAAACAGTCTCTAAAACAACCTGCAGTCTCTAAAACACTCAGCTGTTTCTTCGTCCGGTTTGCCGAGGTGAGCCGCTCACCGGGGCACTTCCGGGCCTGAAATGTTCTTGATCACGGCATCTGCCAGCACCACGTCTGCGAAGGTCCCCACCTCAGAGGGCACAGATCGGCGTGGTTCCAGCTACTGAATTTCTGAATGTGAGTGGATATGCATATATATATATATAATATGAATATATATAATGTAATATAATATAATGTAATGCATATATGCTACCCCCCCCCAGGACCTACCTTTCTGAGCTTGCCAGGCATATTGTGAAGATGTGTACAGTTGTGGGTGAAGACCAGTTGTTGTATGTTATTGTAATATATGCTTGATTATTTGGCTCTACAAGTGTCGCAGGTTTTAAACCCTTCAGTAAATCTCTCTACAGTAATGTTCTGTTATCTGTTATTCTGACATCCTTTGCAGTATCCATTACCTAGTATATATACCCACTATTTCTTTAAATACAGTTCTAAATATCTATGTTATTAATGTTATTTATTGTTTATGTATTTACACACACACTCCAAAAATAACATGTATAGTTTGTTAAAAAAAAATACATTTAAACCATGTTAAAACAACTATATCTATGGCAGTAAGCTGCAATTGATACACTACCCTTTTTAATATCTATTGTAAACCCACATCCACAGTAAGTACATTGGACATCAATATAACCTTCTTTAGGTATTTCTCTTTTACCTTTTCTATCATGTATTTTGTATTGTTCAACCCGCCTATTAAAATAGTTTGTGATACACTGTTTATTGAATGAATGTTCACACTATATTACTATATTCAAAGGAAACTTGACTTGGCTTCCATCCCTAGCTCCTTTGATGGCCGTCCAAAGCCGCTCCCTATAAAGTGGTCTACCTCCGCCGAATGCAGGTGCCCAAGAGGTGCCGACTCTCCAGGTGCCCCAGGCCATGGAGTCCCGATAGCCAGGGCTGGCCCACTTCGGTAGCCAACCGCCCGCCTTACAACCCCCGCGGTGCGGGGCGTTCCGGACACCCGGACCGACCAAGGAGGATCGGCAGGGTCCAGCTGCGGGTCACTCGGCAGGGAGCACTGGCTGGGAGATAACAGTTGAAGATAACTTGCAAAATGATTGGCCCTTGGGTCTAGGTACTACTAGTACTGCACCACAGACAATGGAAGGAAGATGCTCATCACTCACTAAAAACACCAAAAAACAAGCAGTTGTCAAGGGTTGTGGAAGAAACCCCCGAGCTCTGGATGCAAGAAGATCGAGCTTCATGTGCCTACACTACATCACCGCCACACGGCGGTGTGACCTCAACTTCGAAGACCTCCACGTGGCCACGTAGCAACATCTGAGTCGAAAAAAAAAGAAAAACTCCTCTCAAAACTCCAGGTGTGTCCAAAATCCCGCCACTGGAAGGATGGACCTGGATGGGCTTCTCATTCGCACCTGCCCAGGCCACCCAGGCCTGATAGGCGTTGAGCCATCCCACGATGAAGTTGGCCAGTTGCGTGGGGTAGGCGATCGAGAGCAAGGGATAGACCTCGCTGGGCCGTGTGGTAGACGCGCAGAGGTGGCGAACGGGGAGGGGGACATGGACTCCATCCAGTCAAAAGAGAATACTTTTTAGTCGCCCCTGATGGAGGACACGAGTGCTAAGATCATCATAGACATTCAAAAAATTCCCATATATGGTTCAGAAACCTCAGGTCGATGCCAGGTGCCAGGTTTTTGAAAGCACAACCTTTCGACGATTTTCCACGGTGCACACCTTTGCACTCTATCAAATACTCCATTGTGGGGCCGCATCACAAAAAGGGTTCTACACTCGTGCACGTGCTGGACAACCAACACCACACCACCAGTCACCGTCGGCTTTGTACAAAAAACATCCAAGACCACCAACATCACTCACCAAGACCTAAACAAAAAGTGACGGGTCACGGAAAACACTGACGAACATGGTTTTGTGGATGGCACCCCCGGTTTGTAATTTGAAAGGAGTCTTCCAAGGTGCCATGCCCTCCACTTCGATGTTAGTAAATTACTGCAACGCTACTCACCATCCTGCCTGTCAAGACCATTGGTCTGTGGGAGCACGCCAAGCTGTCTTGACCAGCGGTCCAAGTGAATGAGGCAATGACGTCTATCGGAAAGAGAAAGAAGACCAGTTTAGGCCATCAGTTTTGTCAGGGAGTACTAAGTGGATGGACAAAACTCAACGTCCAAACCACCCAAGGTCAAGAAAATAGGAAACATCTTTACGCATGTTGGATGTTTTTCATGCGTTGAACAAAAGTACCATAAAGTACCTGCGACCAAATTATGAACAGCACTGGACTGTTGGGCAGGTGGGTCCAGAGTCAAGTTACCCTCCATCCGACCCATCCGACCCATGCCGCCATCCTCTTGCATCCCCCTTCCTGAGACTTTGGCCGTTCGGAACGTGTCCCAGAAGCCGTTGTCCTTGGCACCCATGGAAATACTGCCTGTGGGCTGTCCTAATGGTACAGGACACTGTTTGGGTGGACTTTGCTGGCTTTGCGGTGCGCTGACAGCTCAAAAATGAACGCCGGGCACAAAGAAGACCCACCCCAATTAAAAATAGTCATACGGAAGTGGATCGAAATCCCCCTGCTTGGTATTGTCACAAAAGTTAGTCACATCAGGTGACTCGAAGAAACTAATCCGCAAGTATTGGCCCGATGCGACCGGGTGACATCAGGTTCCTGCTTACAAGCGCGCTCATGTTTTGCTGATGGCCGATGGCCAGAAAGTTTGAGTCTTGTATCACACCATTCCAATCACAGCGTGGAAGCAGCAGCAGTAGTAGCAGCAGCAGGAGCCAAGCAGCCAAGCAGCAAGCAGCAGCACACAAGCAGCAGCAGCAGTAGCAGCGGACAAACTGCACAGAAGCAACACAGAAGCAGCACATAAATGCTTTCATCTTTCCATCTTTTTCCTCTCACGCATCCTCACCGTTCACTCAGGACCCGGGGATGGAACGGACTGGAAAACTGCAAGCTAACGGCGATGGGATGCGGTTCAGGTTGAAAACATGAAATTTGCACGCACACCATGTTTTTGAAACAGCTCGAAGCCACCTCCGCAAACTTTGAATGATGTTCGCCCGTTTTCTGGCTCTGTTGCCGGTATTGGCTTGGTAGGCACTATTGGCCTGCTGGCTTGATTGTCAAATGATATGGTACTCTGCATTGGAAACAAACTGAACCGGGAACTTGGAATGACTGCCGAAAGGCGCAAAGGTGGTTTTCCCACCATTGTGCACCAAATGAAACATGTCTTCTTGCGTCCTTTCAAAACCACAGCTGTGTTTCAACTGCCATTGAGCCAGTGAGCAAACCCTTCGGGTCCTTTAGCGTAATACTAAGTGCAGGGGGTAACAAATGGCAGAGGCGGTTTTGACCATTTCTTGACCGTTTCCTTCTGTCGACTTGGTTTCTTTGCTTGTGTGCTTTGAAATATTATAGTCTTTCCTTGGTTTCCGTTTTTAAAGGCTCCGACTCATACAGCTTCCCTTTTATTTTGTTTCTCTTCACTTCCAACTTATTTTATTGTGATAGAAAAGAGCAAAGTTTTAAAGATAAACAAAAAGACAAGGTCTTGACGTGAGAGAATCAAGTAAAAAAGAGCAAGTGCAACTGACAAGCAAGAGCCTAAAAAAAGGCCGGCGGAAGCAACGAAAAGTGGAGCAAAGCAAACAATCAAAAGCCAACAAATACCTTGGCAGTATCCATGTGCTCCGCGCTGCAAATCTCTTTTTCAATCTTCGCACAACGCGATAATCAAATATTGGACGTGCCGTGGTCTGCCTATAGCGTATAGCGGACCAAAGGTGAGGCGTGAGCAGCGCGCCTTCGACAAGAAAGCAAACCTGCGCGTCACTCACGCCCTCTGGCCACCGATCTCCCCGCTCGCGGAGAATCCGCTCAGCAAGTGGTCGAAACCACCCGCCGTGTCCCCTCACCTCGGTTCAAACAGAATTGCGCTTCCAAGCTTCGCGCGGCGGCGGTGACTTCTGGGTGCTCAACCGTGTAGACACCCTCTCCTGTGAGTGCATTGACGGCAACGATGCGAGGTGGGGCCTCGTGCAACAATCTATGCTTACAACTTACGACATTCGACAGAAGCGTCCCTGCAACGCGCCAATCGACGCTCGAGGTCCAGACTCCGGAGCGTGGAACCTAGCGAGCAGAATGGAATACGCTCGTTTCGCCCCGAAAGGATGACCCATGTTCCGAATAATCCCGTCCTCCTAATAATAAACACGGGCCCCCCCCCCCCTATTAAAAAAACCTCGGTCGCATTTTTTCTAATAGGGGGTCCCTGAAATCGGGGGGGGCCAAAATAGTGTCACTTGCAAAGAGTTTCAAAACCAAAAAGTAATCCAGGAAAATTTTATATAAAATCCTTTATTAAACTCGTATCAAAAATGCAAAAAACCGCCAGATCGAAGGGTCTTCCTTTTCCCCTCCAAAAACCTTCATTAGAATAGTGATTCTTCAGTAGACTAACAGCTAAAGCTTTCGAAAGGTGATGTCGCTGTGCCATGCGGTGTTGC